ACAAACATGTCTACTATTTCCAATGGTCGAATTCCTACCAACCTTCCAATTCTTGATTCCAAGAACTATGACAAGTGGTGCAAACAAATGAAAGTTTTGTATAAGTATCAAGACGTTCTCGAGGTAGTGAATAATGGTGTTACACCACTTGGGCCAAAGCCTACAGCTGCTCAACAAGCTACATTCAAGGAAGAGAAGAAGAAATACTACAAGTCAATCTTATTGATACATTCTTGCATCGATAGTGACAACTTTGAAAAAGTTAATGATTGCACGTCAGCGAAGCAAGCTTGAGAAATCTTGAAGAAAGCTTATGAAGGGGATGATAAAGTGAAGGTTGTGAGGTTACAAACTCACAACAGGAAGTTCCAGCTCGTAAAAATGGAAGAGAATGAGTTGATCAATGATTATGTTACTTGTATAACGTGTTTGTTGAACCAAATGAAGTCTTGCGGTGAAACCGTGTCCGTGCAGAACGTGGTAGCAAAAATATTGCATTCTTTAACGCCAAGATTCAACAACATAGTGGTTGCAATAGAAGAATCAAAGGATCTTCTTACCATGAGCAAGGAGGAGCTTCAAAGTTCATTAGAGGCTCATGAAAAAATAATGGATGAAAGAGGAAATGACAAGGCTAAAGCATATTTTGCGTTGCAAGCACGGTTCAATTAGAAGAACAAGAGACTGAAGGGAAAATGGTCTTCAAAATGGAAGACAAATTTCCATAATTTTGGTGGAAAAGATTCCAAAAATTCAAATGGTTCGATATCACAAAGAGGTGAAAGTAGCTTCAAATGTAGTGGTCAAGGCAATAACACCAAAAAGTTTGATAAGAGTGGTGTAAAGTGTTACAATTGTCAAAAGCTTGGGCATTTTGCAAAGGAATGTAATACAAAATCGAAAGAAAATCAAGGTGATGAAGCTAAGGTTACAAGACAAAAGGTGGATGATGATAATACACTTCTGTTCATGATTATAGAGGAGAATTATGGCATGGAAAAGCTACTGGACAACAAGAGTAACAACTGTCAGAAGTTGGGCAGCAACGTCTATAGTATAGAAACTTCTGCAGAAACACATTCGGAGCGAAATGCAATGGTAAACATTTGAGATTGAGTCTAAGGTAGTGATGATTGGTACTTGGATTCTATTTGTTCAACGCATATGACAGATAGAAATGATTGGTTTGTCAAAATCAATAAAGCCACGAAGAATAGAGTAAAATTCGCGGATGACACCACTTTAGAGGCCGATGGTGTGGGTGATGTTTTGATCATGAAGAAGGATGGGAGTAACTACTTGATCAAAGATGTGTTATATATTCTTGGAATCAAATGTAATCTCTTGAGCATTGGCCAATTTCTTGAGAAGAATTACATAATTCGCATGGAAAACAAGATTTTGCGTGTTTTGGACCAAAACGAAGTCTTAATTCTTAGAGCACCCATGGCTGAAAATCATACTTTCAAGATAGAGTTGAAAGTTGTGGAGCACAAGTTTCTTGCTACAGAGAAAATTCGTGATCAGTGGTTGAGGCATTATCGTCTTGGACATCTCAATTTTTGAGACCTCGACGCGTTACAAAGGAATGGTATTGGTGACCAGGCTGTCCAAGATCAATATTCCAGCTGAGATTTGTGAAGAGTGTATTCAAGAGAAACAAAACAAGAATAGTTTCAACAAGGATGTAGGTCATACGACCAAACATCATCTTGAGTTGGTGTACTCTAATGCTTATGGTCTAATGCAAGTCGACTCGTATGATGGAAATAAGTACTTTGTCACTTTTATTGACAATTTTAGTAGGAAGCTATGGATTTATCTAATCAAGAGGAAAGATGAGGTGTTTGATGTGTTCAAATGTTTTAAATCCATGGCAGAGCGATAAAGTGGTCATAAGTTGAAGATTCTCAAAACCGATGGTGGAGGTGAGTACGCCTCGAGTGAGTTTGGGAATTATTGTGATTTTAAGGGTATAGTGCGTGAGATTGTGCCACCTTGTACGCCTCAACAAAATGGTGTTACCGAGAGAAGAAATCATTCAATAATGAATATGGGTTTTAGCATGTTGATGGGAAAAAGCTTGCCGAAGGAACTATGGGGTGAAGTTGTATCTACAACCGCCTATTTGTTAAATAGGTGTCCTACTAAGAAGTTGGACAAAGTGACACCAGAAGAGGTATGGTCTGGTCATAAACCAAGTTTGAGTCATTTGAAGGTTTTCAGTTCAGTAGCATTTCAACATATTCCAAGTCAGCTTCGAAAGAAGTTTGATGACAAAGGAGAGATAATGTTGCTAGTTGGTTATCATCCTACCAGAGACTACAAGTTGTTTGACATGAGTAGAAAGAAGATTGTGATAAGTCGAGATGTGGTCATGGATGAGTTAAGGCTGTTTGACAGCAAGAAAAAATCCATGACAGTACTGAAAATCGGTTTCTTGGGTGAGGGTAACCGGTTTCCTCCACAGGTTTTGCATCCTGAAGCTGTTAGAATTGAAATTCACGAAGCAGAAATTGGTTCCCCTTTTTCTAGAAACCAGTTTCCACAGAAAAATGCAGAAAATCAGCATTCTGCAGAAACAGTTCAGGAGCCTATCGAAGTTGAAAATGGTGAATCCAGTAGACGTTCAACAAGGCGCAGAGGTCTACCTCAAAGACCCCGAGATTGTGAAGTATTCCATGATAATGAGAACAACAATGATGGTGATCTTATTCACTTTACACTTATGGCCAAATCTAAGACCGTGAGCACGGAGGAGGCATTAAGAAATTCAAAGTGGGTGTGTGTGATAAAGGAGGAGCTGGAATTGATTGAGAAAAACAGTACTTGGGAGTTGGTCGATTTATGCGAACAGAAAAAGCCAATCGGTGTGAGATAGGTCTATAAAGTAAAGGCAAATCCAAAAGGAGAAATTGTCAAGCATAAGGCTCGCCTAGTAGCGAATGCATTTTTACAAAGAGAAGATATAGACTATGATGAGGTGTTTCACCTGTGGCTAGATTGGAAACTATACGGGTGGTTATTGGTATTATGAATATTAGTAATTGGTCAATGTATCAAATGGATGTAAAATCGGCATTTTTGAATGGTCAACTTAAGGAGGAAGTCTATATAGAGAAGCCCCGGGGTTTTGTGGTGAAGAATCAAGAGGGGAGAGTCTACAAATTGAAGAAGATACTCTATGGTTTAAAACAATCACTTAGAGCTTGGAACAAACACATATGCTTTTCTAGTTGAGGTTGGCTTCAAGAAGTGTGTATCCGAACATGGTGCTTATGTGAAGACGGATGCAAGCAAAGAAGTGATTATACTTTGCTTATATGTGGATGACTTATTGATTACAGGCAACAATGAAGTGAATATTTCTAAGTTCAAGAGTGAGCTTATGGAAGAGTTTGAAATGAGTGACCTTGGAATTATAACTTACTTTCTTGGCATATAGTGCCATAAGTAAAAATTCGGGTTGCTTATGCATCAAAGAAAGTATGCTCTTGAGATTTTGAAAAAGTGTGATGTGAAGCATTGTAATGTTGCCATAGCACCGGTTGAAGCAAGGTTGCAGTTGTCCAAAAGTGAAGATGAGCAAGATGTGGATCCAATAAAATATAGGAGGTTGATTGGATCATTACGTTACTTGTGCAATACGCGGACGGATTTGGCATTTAGTGTCGGTATTGCAAGTAGATTCATGAAGAAACCAAAGGTTTCTCATTTGGCAGCAGTTAAGAGGTTCCTAAGATACATCAAATGAACCCTGGATTGTGGAATTCTCTTTTCTGCAGTTGATACAGACAGAAATTGCGAGTTACTCTATTATACGGATTCCAATTGACGTAGAGATAAGGATGATCGAAAGTCTACGGCTGATTATATCTTTATGTTTGGTGGAGCTCTAATCTCTTGGTGCTCTAAAAAGGAACATGCGATTGCACTCTCTTCTTATGAAGCTGAGTATATCATTGCATCGATGTGTGTGTGTGTCATGTTGTGTGACTTATGAATCAGCTGAAGGAGCTGGGTAACAATACAGAAAAAACTGTTAAGCTCTTGGTTGATAAGATTTCATCCATTAATCTTGCAAGGAATCCCATAGCACATGGGAAGAACAAACATATAGAGATGCATTTTCATTACTTGAGGGAACTGGTGTGTGCAGGCCAACTGAAGTTAGGATACTATCGAAATGAAGAACAACTTGCAGACTTGTTGACGAAAGGCGTGACAAATGATGTGTTCAAGAAGCTTGTGAGGAGTTTACGTATGAAGAATGTTAAGCATTTGAATTATGGTGGTGTATTGGAAGTTGATAATATTTCAAATGCATTTTAGAAGCTTCTATGATCGTTTCGTGCAAAATAACTTATTTTAAAAGCACTTCTGGAAGTTATTAAAATCATGTGTTTTGAAGGAGAAACCGGTTTCCCAGTTTGAGGAAATCGGTTTCTGTCACGAGTTTTAATTTTCTTGTGTTTTTTCAGTTGAGGAAATCGGTTTCCCTGTTTTAGGAAACCAGTTTCTGCCGCGATTCTTGTGTTTTTTAGACTGTTTGTGGGACTGTGTTAGTTTCAAAGTTATGTTTTTGTATTATATATAAACCCTCTTGTAATTATGTTTTAGTATGAGATTAATGCTATTTTACTATTTTTCTCCTCAATTACTCTCTCTCTCTCATATAATTTCTAATTTCTTTCTAAACTTCATTTACTTCAATTAACCACTTTCACCATTAATTCACCAATTTAATTTTTATATATGTTCTAACAATTGTTGACTGATTCTCATAAGATTTCTAAAAAGAAATTAGAATTGAAAGAGAAAAAATTAAATATAATATACCTAATAAATAGAAAATATTTTTATTCCAAAGCTAAACAAATTACAAACATAATATTATTGGTCCCTAATTTAAGAAACCATGCATGTTATTTAAGAAATTTCAAGATTATAAGATACATTTATTCAACACCTTTTGGTTTAAGTGCCACTAATGAATCTTCCTACACCCCATAGAAGTTGGACAAACACCTTAAGATGGTGACTTTAGCTTCAAGTAGAAGTATGTATTTTTCAATACTTTGGAACAAATTGTTCCCTGGAACAGTCCCCTCAAGTTCTTGAAGCTTCTTTTGTAAAGAAGATTTTCCAACATTGGTTTTCTTTGCCAAACATAGTTTTGCCTTCTTTTTCTTTCCCTTTACATTCAAGCCCTTTTTTGGCCATTGCCTTATTCCCATTTTGCACCTAGAAACAAATGAGAGATAATCTAAGAGAAGATTGTTAGAAATAAAAGATAGATGTAAGCTAGGAAAAGGAGATAGATAATGATTAGAGTGCATGCTAGTTATATAGGAAAATTCCCTGGCTGTAAATAATTGAATGAGTTCTCTAAAATTTCAATGGTACGTTTGGATAAGATAATTAAAATTTTTATAATTTTAAGTAATTTAAATAATTTAATTGATACTGATTCATCTCTACATTTTTATTTAAATAAAAAAATAAAATTATTTGTTGATAAATTTTTAAGATCATTTTTATATATTTAAAAAAAAGGATTAAATTAAAATTTAAAAAATAAAGACTAATTTACACGTTTTTAAAATTGTAAACGACTAATTTCAAATTTTAAAAAATTATTTGAGAATAATTTGCATTTAATTTTTGGAAATTTAGGTTGTCAATTTGAAAAATATAAAAAAAATATATAAATATTTACTTGCAAAATTAAAAAAATTAATAATAGTTATTTTAACATTCATATTATATATATTGTTTGGAAAATTTTAATTTTCTTATTTTTAGATGTTATTTAAAATTTCTTAAATTTAACTTCAACTAAAACACTTCAACAATTCTCATTATTTTAACAATTCTACGAAATTTTCATTCAAACAACAAATTTGATCAAATTATTTTAAATTTCCTAATTTTTTTTTAAAATTTTCACATCCAAACACACTATTTAAAATTTTGTTGAATACACATTTCTTGTCAAATTATTTAGGTTTATGTATTTTTTTATATATAATTAGTTTAAAATAATTAAGACATGAATATCTAAGAAAACTCCAAAGTTTCAAATCTTATATAATTGAATTCACATTGGTAGAAAAGTTTAGAGGTGGATTGGTCAATAAGAGCAACAGTATATATATTGTGATGGATAGTGATAGCGACACTAGATAGTAAATCCAATGACTGGAGCTTGTATCCTCTACGTGGTCAATCTAATCCTCTCATATAAAATATGATTAATGAGAATTTATTAGTACTTTTACGATATGATTTGAGAAAAAAGAATATTGATTACATCAGTGTAAAATATTTTTATAAAGATGTATTTAATTAAAATACATTTTTTAATTTAAAAAAAATTAATGTAACATAATAAATATTAAAATTTTGGTTGATTATATATGTAATATTGATTTATAGTGTTTATACGTTATTTTTAAACTCTTTTGATTTTATTTAATTAATTTTTCTGTCACTTTGTTACTTGTGAATGGATGGTTTTGATGTTATTTGAGAAGCTATCTTCATTGTTTGAGTTAGTTAAGCCTCTAAGCGTTCGGATTATTTTTCATTTAGATTTGATCGGTGTTTTAAAATCCAGTCCGATCTAATCGGTTGGACCGGTCTGATCGAGAACCGGTGAGTCAGGCGGTCTGATTAAGGGATAAGATCGAAATTACATTTAGACTGGATGAAACTGGTGTGAACCGGTCGGATCACCGGTTAAACCAGTGAATCGACGGTTTTTACTGAACCGACAAATTTGATTATTTATTTTATTTTTTAGGGCTTTTGAAAAAAAAATTAACATAAACGTTTTGCCTCCTCGTTTTTCAAACCTAGGCATTTGAAAGGTTTTATTTGTTATTCTGTCTTTTCTTTTTCTAATTGAAGTCATATTCTCAATTTTCTCTACCAACAAAAATTTTCACTTGTTGCTGTTATTTGATATTCCTTGTTTGCCGTCAAAAATTTCATCAAAACATCAAAAACAAGTTATTTCTTTTTTATTTGGTCTAATTTGCATTGATGTTTTTCAATATGAATATTATTATTTCATTTTGTTGATTAATTAATATAGAAAATAAATGATTAATTTTGATCATTTTCTATAAAATTGGGTCTTTTAGCTTAACAAATTGAGATAGAATTTGTATGAATGAAGCAGTTTTATACTTTTATGAATTAACTTATTATAGACTGGTAATGAAATTGTTGTATATTGGAGATAGAAATTGGGATAGATATATATTACTGTAATAGTCGTTGTATATATTTTGGAGATAGAAATTGAGTTTAAAATTATGTAATCTAAATTATATAGTAAGACAAAGTTTTCTGTTTTTTATTAATTTAAATTATATAACAAAGAAAAGTTTCAGGATTTTATTAATCTAAAATATATAGCAAAGGCTGGAAAGCAAAGTTTCTATTTTTTTACTATATATGGTGATGCACAGTAACAATGCTTGGTAGCCTATATGTAATATACAACAACATATTCATATATTTTGGATTTAGATATGCTACATATTTAATGTTTCTTATAATGTTTTTATAAATTCAATAATTTTTGTTTAGAATTGTGTTTTGTTAATATTTTTGTAATATAGTTTTGTATTTTTAAAGTTTGATTGATATTAGATATGGCATCACCTGCTGAAGTAATAACTTCGGACGAAGTTACATCTCAAAATCCAACCCAACTCCAGAGCAGTAGGGAAAAAACTGATATAGTTTGGGGTCATTGTAAACAAATTGAAGAGAAAGGAAAACTTGTTAATTTGTGTATTTATTGTGATAAAATTATTAGAGGAGGGGGGATTAATAGGTTCAAATTCCATTTGGCTGGAATAAAAGGTCAAGTTGAAACATGTAAAAAGGTGCCTCCAGATGTTCAATATCAAATGAAACAAAATCTTGATGAAGGTGCAAATAAGAGAAGAAAGACTCAAGCACAAAATTTTGATATTGATCTTACTACTCAAGAGGATGGTGTAGTAGAAATGGATGTAGAACAATCAAGATCAAATTCGGTGATTGTGTCTCAAAAGAGAAAGAATACTAGTCGTATTGGTAATTATTTTATGCCTAGAACAACTCCTGGAGCTCAACCTTCTTTAAAAAGTGTGTTACAAAGTAAAGAATTGGTGGAGAAGTGTGATCTAGCTATTGCAAGATGGTTCATTGATTCTTCTGTGCCATTCAATGCAGCTAATTCTACGTATTTTCAATCTATGGCTGATGCACTTTGCAGCATGAGTCCGGGGTATAAAGTTCCAATTATGCATAGTCTTCGTGGCTATTTGTTAAATAAATGGGTTGAAGATGTGAACAAATTGATAGAGGAGTATCATGAGATTTGGAAGAAAACTGGTTGTACTCTAATGGCCGATGGATGGACTGATCGAAAAAGAAGAACTCTTATAAACTTTCTAGTTTATTGTCCCAAAGGTACTATTTTTCTAAAATCCGTTGATGCTTCTCATGCTTCAAAAACTGCAGATATGTTGTATAAGCTTTTTAGAGAGGTGGTTTTATTTGTTGGGCCTGAAAATGTAGTTCACATAGTGACAGATAATGCTGCAAATTATGTTGCTGCTGGAAGGTTATTAGAAAAGGAGTTTCCTACTTTATTTTGGTCTCCTTGTACGGCATATTGCATTAACTTGATGTTGCAAGACATGGGAAAATTAGAGGAAGTAAGTGAGACAGTGTCGCGTGCTTCTAATGTTACCAAATTTATTTATAACCATTGTTATGCATTGTATTTAATGAGAAAGCAAACAGGTGGAAGAGAAATCCTTCGTCCTGCTCCAACTCGTTTTGCCACTAATTTTATTGCTTTGCAAAGTATTTTGTCTCACAAAAACTCACTAAGAGCCATGGTAACATCTAAAGAATGGACAAGCTCAGCATATGCCAAAGAAGCAAAGGAAAAACAGTTTGTGGATCAAGTTTTAGATTCTGGATTTTGGAGTAAATGTGCTGATGTAGTTAAACTCACTGAACCACTTGCGCGTGTGTTGCGTATTGTTGATAGTGAAGATAAACCTGCTATGGGCATTTGTTGGCTCCTAAATTCGACACCCTTGTTTTTTATTAATATAGACTATTAATCATGAGGAATGGTTTCGACCAGCTGATCCTGTCGAATGCTTGTCAGAAGGTGGCAAGGTACTTAGAGGATTTCTTTAAGTGGGAATCTTGTTGCCTTCGACATCGAAGAAATCTTGTTGCCTTCGACGTCGAAGGAACTTCTCGACAAAGGAATTTGATGCTCAGAGTGGAACGGTTTGAGATTCGAATGTTTGGAGGGAAAACGGTTCCCAGCAGTTACCAAGTGCTACGTGCCAAGATCAGGAGCGTCGAATGCTGTGAGCATGCCAAGTGGTGTCATCTCGAAGCAGCGTAACTGCCCAACGGTTACTTGAGATGTGTTTAGTATAAATACTAGTTGTTCACGTAGTTTTCGCGTGTGTTCACAATTATATACAAGTTACTCATTTAGATTCAAGTACCCAGTGTGAGCGAAAGAATTGTTGAGAATGTATGTGTGAAACACCATTTAAATTAATCAAAGTCTTTTATATTCCAGAACTTTATTGCCTTTCATTTACTCTTCCCAGTCGAAGCCTTTATTTATTACCTTTCATTTATTCTACCATGTTTTTTCTTCATGCAATTTACATAAAGTGTCTTTGCTTTACTAGCATTAACCATCATTAGAACTTAGTCAAACCCCAAAAATCAACCATGTCTTAGGATCAATCTGATCGATCCTGCGAGTCACCAAATAAGTAACCTTTTGGAAGATCAGCGGTTATTTACCAATTTCCACGGTAAACAAATTGGCACACCCGGTGGGACCTTGTGTTGATTTTTAAGGTTAACCGTATTTATACAGAATATCATCTTTTTCGAGAAGTTTTGCATGTTATTGAGAAGTGGCAGAATATACACTAACGATACCAATACTACTAGAAGAAGAGAAGCGATGGCGAATCCGCCAAACAATAACGAAATCCCACAAACAAATGTGGGATCAACGGTTATCCCAACCGTAAGTGAAGCGCTAACCGCTGGTTCAACACCAACAGTAACGGTCACACAAACGGGGCCATTACCTCCGTTCACTGGCCCCAGAATGCCTTTGGGAACTCCCCCACCATGGGGAAACCCAGGAACTAGGCCTTATGTTCCCCTAGGATTTCCGACA